AAGAAAGGAAGAAAATTGTAGTCTATTGCAGCCTAAGCTGACTGAGAGAACACCTGTTCTTCACCTAATGGCAGTCCTCACCTGGCCCCTCTAGGCATCTGAGTTTCCACTAGGTATTTCCAAATCCCCTTTCACCTTCGTAAATCTATTTCCAAGATAATTCCCAAGATCAAGTTTCAAGGCTGTCAAACCTATGTCAGCAGGTATATTCTGCCCCCAACCTTCTCCTGGTGGAAGATCCACCAGGCTAAATACCGGGATCCCTACTTAGATCCCAGAAAATTTCCCAGCACCTATAAGGCAGTCAGTAAATGTGGAATGAAGTGTTCCGGGTTAGCAATTATCTCTGAAAGGGGCCCACAGTGATTAATAAAGCAAATTAGTATTTAAGAGGGCACAGACCGTTCCCTTAATTATAATATCGTTATGCCTTATGTTACCCAATAGAGAGGGATAGTCAGTTTAAATTGCTTTGTCTTAAATATTTTGACTGAACCCAATAGAATAAAGAACTTGCTTCTTTAATGCTAGGCTTTAAAACGCATTTAACGGGTATTCAAGATTTTAAAGGGAGCCAGGGTCGGAAAGTTGAGACAACAGCATCCTCTTGTGTTCACCACTGGAACTTCCCACACCTTTATCTGCTGATGACCTGTGACCAGTCAATAAAACCAGTCGGGGCACTAGGTTTGATGCAACACAACAGAACACACAGGGGTCCTGCCACGTCGATAGAGAAACTGTGGAATAAATCTGACCCAACGTTCCTATGTATATATTAATATACCACAGTGAATCTCACCATCATGTGCAGTCACAAGACAATAATTTAAACAAAATTATAAATAAATAGAAAGATCAGTAGAGGGAAGGAAATGGGGTGGGAGGAAGGGAAGGGGGAAAAGTAGTGGGGACTGAATTAGAACAAATTATATTCTATGCTTTTATAATGATATCAAAATTAATTCTATTGTCATGTATAACTAAAAAGAATCAATAATAATAATAAAAGGGCTGGGGATGTGACTCAGTGGTAGAGCATTTACTTAGCATATAGAAGGCCCTAGGTTCAAACCCCAGTACTGCCAAAACATGAAAAATAAAATACAATAAAATTAGCTATCAAGCCATGAAAGGACACCCAAGAAATTTAAATGCTTTTTTTTT